GCTGGGTGCAGGGCAGCACTGTGCCATGGCTGACCCGCTCGAGGCAGGGTTTGGGCTGAGATCTGTGGAAATCTTTTATTTTCAGGGCTGGAGCATTTCAAAGCCCTCACCGTAGGCTTAGCACCTCTGCGCAGACCTCAGGTCCTTGGTCCCAAGATGCACCTTTGTCCGGTTGTTTTCCACAAGGCTGGTTGCTAATTTGCAATTTTCTTCCTTTTGCAGTCAGGTAGATTCAGGCAAACCCCAGGTATTGGCTAATCTCGGCCAGGACTGGAGCAATGTCGCAACAACTCCTCTACCGTGCTCTGGTGTCTGCAAAATGGCTTTCAGAAGCCATCAAGTCCCAGCAGCCTGGTCTGGCCTTGAAAATTGTGGATGCGTCCTGGTATTTGCCAAAGATGAAGCGTGACCCGAAGCGGGAATTTGAGGAGCGCCATATCCCTGGTGCGGTTTTCTTCGACATCGACCAATGCAGCGACCGTACTTCACCTTACGATCACATGCTGCCCAAGGCTGTTGACTTTGCTGAGTATGTGGGGAAGCTGGGTGTGGGGAATGATTCCCATGTTGTGGTGTATGATGGCAGCGACCAAGGTCTCTTCTCAGCACCCCGGGTGTGGTGGATGTTCCGGGCCTTTGGACATGAAGCCGTTTCCCTTCTGGATGGCGGCCTGAAGAACTGGCAGCGAGAGGGGAATGCACTGAGCTCTGGGAAGAGCCAGGTAGCTCCCTCTGAGTTCCATGCATCCTTGGACAAGTCCCTGGTGAAAACATATGAGGACGTCTTAGATAACTTGGATTCCCACCGCTTCCAGCTAGTGGATGCACGCGCTGCAGGACGGTTCCGGGGAGTAGAGCCAGAGCCCCGAGATGGTAATGTGCCTCCTGAAACATTGGCGTAATAAAAAGGGGCTTCATTTAAGGTGGCCATCAGTTTGACTCTTGTAGATGTAATGAATGGAAATATGGTTGTCCTTTATGGGATGGCACTTGAGGCACTGTATCCACCTGTCCTCCTCTCTTTTTGACTAGCAAGTGCTGCTCTTTGAAAATTTAGGAGTGGGGAAGCAGTGTATTTTTTTTTTTCTTACAAGGGGCTGGGATGAGGAATGTAGCTTTCGTACACCTCAAATACAATCATTGGTCTCTTCATGTACTGGTGCTACAGTTCCCCTCAGAAGGGCCTATGGAGGTGCTTCAGTCAGTGCGTTATCATGGTGGGTTGTTCTGATGCAGGGACAATGTGGAGGTAACTGGGAGGAGGAGGAACAGAACTTGACAGGATTGTGTCCATGTGGTAACCTGAAGATTAGAGCCATCTTTTCTGAGTAATCGGTAATCCAGTAAAGCAAAGTTTAGCAAAGATAAATGTATTTGTTTTAACAATATAGGCTAACTAATAAATAACAAATACAATAAATCATAAATATCCCCAGTGAAACAGAGAACAGGTTTTGCAATGGATTTTTCCTAGACAATAGAGGTTAATTCCTATCTGTATTGCTTTTCCTTCAGGAATTGAGCCTGGGCATGTCCCTGGGTCGATGAACATCCCCTTCACCGATTTCCTCACAGAGTCTGGCTTAGAGAAGACGCCAGAGCAGATCCGCAGTCTGTTCCAGGAGAAGAAGGTGGACCTCTTAAAGCCAGTGGTAGCCACATGTGGCTCTGGGGTTACTGCCTGCCACGTGGCTCTGGGGGCATACCTCTGTGGCAAACCAGATGTCGCTGTGTACGATGGGGCCTGGGTGGAATGGTACATGCGGGCACAGCCTGAAAATATTATTTCTGAGGGAAAGGGGAAGACAGCATAATAAGTTGCTTTGTCTTCCACCTGTGCAGATAATTTGCCTTGAAACAGGATTTGGAAAAGATGGGTTTAGCAACCCTGGTTAAGTGTTGTGAGGTGAAGGTGTTGGATAACAAGTACAGGCACATGGTGCTTTGGCACTTTCTCTTTATCCTACCACTGCTGCTTAGGAATGTAAATATCACCTGGACAGCCAGCTCTAGGTGACCCTTCTTGAGCAGGTGGGGTGAACCAGATGACCTCCAGAGGTCCCTTCCAACCTCAGCCTTTTTGTGATTCTGTGACCGTTTTACAGTATCAGATGGAAAGGAGAGAGTGCTGGTGGCAGCATGGGGAAGCAATTGAGTCAAGCCAAGCTCATGACTCAGAACATTCCACCACGTTCACTCGCAGGATGGTCATACTTGTATAACCGTGCCTCATGGCCTTGCTCTCTGCCTCTGTCGTAGAAGCCATCCGTGCACTTTATGGCTGTTCTGAGTGCAAAACTTAGAGGAAAGACAGATGTTAAAGGATCAAATATGTCTTCCAGGTTGGCACTTACATTAGAGACTTGGTTTGGATTTCTACTTGCACTTGGACTCTAACTGCGATGTGTACTTAGCCAGTTTTGTACCCCCATTATCCAAAATCCCCCTTGGGGGGGGGGAAAAAAAGATACTGGGATTAAAAAAAGAGTAAATAAACATGTGTTTCAAGGTCTTTCTGCTGTATGGAGCTTATGTGAGCATTGCTTGGCTGATTCCAGGAACTGTATTTTTATGGGATCCCTTTGTCCTCATGATTCCAATGAGATGTTTCCTTCTCTCCACCTCTTACCCCCAATAAGTTCTTTGGGCCAGGAAAGACAATGACACACCTCTCTCTTGGGACTTTTAACCATATTCTTCCTTTAAGTCCCTGTCCATTTGCTTTTTGGCCTAAAACTCCACATTAGTCAGTCACAGCTCTGTTCTTCAAAGACTGGATATCAGTTCACATGGTGAAAATTGGATTGCATGGGTGTTTCAGTTTTTTCCATGAGTCTTACCGTGTAACCTTAAAAAACTTAGGGGAACAGACCTACGGAGGAATAGCCTACAACGGCACATATTTTTCCCCAAGACCATAGCCTTATATCTGAGAGCTGAAATTCCCCTGGGTATCCTTGACAATGTTCAAGAACTTGTTCTCTCTAGGTTTTTCTCCTCTTAAAAAAAAAAACAAACCCACAAACCCAACCAAACAAAAACCAACACACAAAAATCCCCCCCAAAAACACAAACAACCCCCATGTCCCCCCCCCCCGCACCTCTTCTGGCCCACTGGTAACTTAGGAAGTTGATGAGACAGGTTCTGCTCTTGGGCTTGCAGCAACAGGTACCAGTGGACATCTGAGGATGATGGGGTTGTCCTTTCCAGGGATGCTATGGATGCTTATGGTCACAGATTTGCAGCCCACAGATACGAGGCCTGTATCCTTTTCTATTGGAGAGTGTTTGTTCTTTGCATTTCCTTTGGCCTCTGTTGGCTGCAACCCTGGCTTCTTCCTGGGCTTGGTTTGCATGCACACAAGCTCTGTTTCTGCTCGCCTCCTGCGGAGCTAGAGTTTCACTGTCCAGATGATTTCTTCTTGTGTCCTCCCTACCCACGCATACAGCCTGACCTTTCTTTCCACCCATTTCCAGTGACGGAAGGCATTAAATTTCCCCACATACATTAGTCTAACAACCTAGCTCTTCAGGGACATGGGGCTGGTGTTACAGCAAGTGCTGAGTACACAGAGTGTGCAGGGGTCTGAAATGAGCGACCTTTTTGTACACAGTGCAAGACACAGATCTGGACAAAATAATAAACCTTTATATTTGCTGGCTTCCATTTAGTTCTTTGGGCTTAGACTTCCTAAAAGGGCTTCCTTTGCCGGTTACAGCATGCCCTGCAAATTGCTGAGACTTTCAGTTCTGGATCTAGTTGACAGTTTAATTAATTTTCTTCTCCTTCCTGCTAGGGAAAATTTTTCTACTCACATGTTTTATGAATTTCCCCACCCAGGTAATCGCTGTGTTTTTAAAGGCTGGTAGCAACACCTTGCTTTATCCGGAGTAGGGTAATTTTCTTGCAACTCTTTCCTGCAGGGGAAAGGGAAGAACTAGTCAGCGTGTCATGTAGGACCTCTGATCGCAGTCTGTAACTGTCAGCACTTAAAAAAAATTTTTTTTTAAGCTGAAGTATGGTGTTGACAGGAAAACAAAAGGTTAAGAACTCGCTGGGGTGTCTGTCTGGAAACAGCAAGTGGTGCTGAACTCTGTGGAGGGGCCTCCCAATCTGAGGAACGAGGGGGCTGCTTGTAAGAGACTTAAGCATAAAGATACTTGTACAGAGAGCATTGTCCAGTATGGGATCTTATAGCGGGGTCTGGCTTGTGACATGTTTGCAGTTAAGGATTTCTAGCTTCTGCCACCATCAGCTAAGCTAAGAGGCTTTCACGTGATGGGTCATTAAGGTTTAACACCCTGG